CACACACACACACACACACACACACACACACACACACACACGCCAAGGGGTTGAAAACCTACCACACAGTGGTTTCTTACAGTGAATGAGGTCACAGGTGCCACCTCAAAAGCATGAAGGGATTGTCACAAGGTCCAGAGCATTACCTTTGAGTTTGTGTCTCCTCGTCCTTTGGAATTTATATGCACAGCGATTGCAGACCCACAGGAGGCTGATCAGCACCACAGCCACCGCGGCAAGCAGAGCAAAGAAGACAGCGACAAAGTGGAGGTCTTCATAGCGGATCTCTGCGGTGGGACAGGAGGGAAGGTAAAGTCTCTCTCAATACTACAAAGTTGACCACCTGGATCTGTCGCTCAGGGAGGCCTGGGGCTCTCTTACCAGACACATGCAGCACAATTGTGCCAAACTGTCTGCTCCCTGGGTGCTCTGTAACAGTGATGATGTAGCAACCGGAGTCCCTCACCCCCACACCGAAAAGCTGGATGGAGCCATTGTCGAAGGTGCAGACTCTGTCTTTGTGGCTTTGGGAGACATTGGCTGGGGTCCCTGGTTTCCACTCCACGATCTTCTGCTCACCCCAGCTTGATGTGTACTTCCACTCAACAGTGGGGACTCCATGGCAGGAATAGTCCACTGACAGCAGAATATCTTCTTGGACAGTGGCATTGATGGCTGACCGAGGAATGTACAGTGACACACCATGACCTGTAGGGTGCACATATGAACCTATACTTGAGTCAACTTACCAGATTTTTAATATTTATGTATTTTTATTTGCATTAGTGTTTTGTCTGTGTGTGTGCCCTGGAACTGGAGTTACAGAACTGCCATGGGGGTGCTGGGGATTGAACCCAGGTCATTTGGAAGAGCAGTCAGTGCTCGTAACTGCTGAGCCATCTCTCCAGCCCCAACTTAGCAGTTTCTTCCCCCTGACTTTTTAAAATTAACTTATTTTTTACATTCCAATCCCAGTTCCCCCTCCCTTCTTCCTTCCCACTCCCTCATCCTCCCATCTGCTCCACAGAGAGGGTAAGGCCTCCCATAGAAAGTCTACTAAGTCTATCCCACCAAGGCACCTCTCCACCCCCCACATCCCTGTGTCTAGGCTGGACATGGTATCTCTCCATATAGAATAGGCTCCACTAAGTCAGTTTGTGCATTAGTGTTAGGTCTTGGACCGACTGCCAGTGGCCTCATATATTGTCCCAGTCAAACCATTGTCACCTATATTAAGGGAGTCTAGTTTGGTCTTGTGCAGGTTCCCCATTTGTCAGACCTGAGTCAGGGATCTCTCACTAGCTCAGGTCAGCTGATTCTGTGGGTTTCCCCAACATGGTCTTGACTCCTTTGTTCATATTTTTGCTCCTCCCTCACTTCAATTATACTTCAGGAGGTTGGCCCAATGGTTAGTTGTGGATTTTGATGAGCACCTATTGCATGCCAGCTGGGAAGACACAGAGGCCCCTCCAGCTCTGTTCTATATTCAGCAAGGGGTAGAATACTAGGGACTAATAGACAGGGCAACCTTCTGGGAGATAATGGCCAGTGCACTGACAAGAATAAGCAAGGCTAACAGTGCGCAGTACTGAGGGGGATACACAATGGCTTGGGAGACCCCCTGAGAGAATGATATTTGAGCTCAGACCCCATGGACAAGCAAGAAGAAGAAGCCCCTGTGTGTGTAGATAGGAGGTAGATGTCTTTGACAGAAGCAAAAAGAAGTCTGATGCCTATGTCCTGAGTGTGAGCAGGGTATTTTTGAGGGTGGCCAGATCACTGGAAGGCAAGGAGCACTGGGCAGAGGTTAGGATACAAAGCTAGAGAACTGGACAAGCGTCCAGACAAGCGTCAGGAGCTCAGACATCATGGGAACCTTAGGTAGGGTGCCTTAGACAATCCAACAATGATGCTAATATCTGCTATGGTGACCAGCCAGGGGGCTAGGGGTAGGAGTGGAAACAAGAGAGGCCATCAGGTGGTTATTGCAAGAGCGTGACAGGAAATTATACTGGACAAGGTGGGGCTGAAAAGATAGCTCACTGACTACTCTCCCAAAGGACCCGGGTTCAAATCCCAGCACCCACATGACAGCTAACAATTGTCTGTAACTCTAAGATCTGATATTCTCACACAGGCAAAACACCAATGCACACAAAATAAAAGTAAATAATAAAAAATAAAGGCAGGTGATTGAGGACGTGCATTAGGAAGTTCTCGGGACTGAGCACATGGTCAAGTGGGTGTGGGTGTGGAGTTGGATAAGGCAGAGGCATCACACAGAGATTTCTGCTGAGTGTGTAAGCAGTGACTACTGGAGTAAGGTGTGTTTCGCAAGTAGTAAATAGGTACTATGTTGCACAGTGTACACCAGGCACCAGGTCCATGCTATTGAAGCCTCCCATAATTCATTGCCAGTTAATCAGTCAGTGGTTAAGCCTGAGGCTCATCATGACTAAAAAGCCCACCCAGGGTCACTCTGCAGGGCTTCATGGGCAGCTGACTTCAAAGCTCAAGCATTTGCATCTAGACTCAACTAGAAGGCCAGTGGCTGCAGTGGAGGGGACAGAATGTGACAGGTGCTTCCCACACACAGGGAGACTAGAGATAGGTGAGGGAATGGTGTGCTGCCTAGTTTTATGTCAACTTGACCCAAGTTGGAGTCATTTGGGAAGAGTGAACCCCAGCTGAGAAAATGCCCACCAGATCAGACTGTGGGCAAGACCATAGTGCATTTTCTTGATTGATGCAGGAGAACCCAGTGCCCTGTGTGTGGTGTCACTTCTGGAAGGCTGTCCTGGAATGCAGAAAAATGAAGCCATGAGCAAGGAAGCAGGTCAACTGAGGCCTCTGCCTCGGTTCCTGCCACCAGCTTCCCGCCCTAACTTCCTTCAAAGATGGACTGTGATGTCAAAGTGTAGGTGAAGTACACCCTTTCCTCCCTGTGTTGCTTATGGTCATGGCAGTTTTATCCCAGCAACAGAAACTCTAAGACACTCCGTTTTCACCTCTATTTCCTGTTTAGCTTTCTTATCCTCTCGTGCCCAACTGCCCTGGATCCAAGCTGTTAGCTATGTAACCCCACATGTAACATTTCTAGATCATTCTATTGTCCTATGATGTTGATAATAGTGTCCCACTGGCACCCATTTACTAAAGCCTGGCTGGGTAGCTAAAGCAATGCAATGGATTTCATGCTAAAAAATGGGTAGCAGGGCCATTGAGATGGCTTAGTGGGTTAAGGAACTTGTCACCAGGCCTGATGGCCTGAGTCCAGTCCCTGATACCCACATGGTAGGAGAGAATTGATTCCTTCAAATTGTCCATTGAGCTCCACACAGTCCCCAAGGAATGTACGTGCATACATACATGTATACCTTTTCCATGCAAAATAAATAAATTCAGTAAGAAAAAAAATCTTAAAATGGTAATAATGACTTTCTAGAGTGATTCTGCCATGAAACAGGAGTGTATTTACTTTCTTCCTCTAATTTTGATACAACAAGGAATAAATATTTGATTTGTCTCCACTTTCTGTCACTCTGCTCCTAAAACCCTGGACTCTTCAGGGTGACTGGAGTGAGTGATGGTGAGCCTCTGCATACACAGCATGACTGGTGGCTGGCAACCCTTAGATAGTTTCAGGATGGCACTGGTCACCAGAAAAAACAAGGAGTGACTGGAATGTTGGAACTTATAGTGAGCTTTCTTTTCCTTCCTTCCTTCCTTCCTTCCTTCCTTCCTTCCTTCCTTCCTTACCGAGTGCTGGGATTAAAGGGGTGTGCCACCAACACCTGGTGACTCCTAGTGTTCTTACACTGAATCCACTCACTGCATTTGGTCCTCATGCCGTGTGAGTCTTCTTTCATCCAGCAAAGCTTCTATACTTTAGAGATGGTGTGAATATTTCAGGACATATTGGAAAACATCTTACTGTAGATTTGTTTGGAAACAAGGTAAAACCACTGTAAAAGTGAGATTTTTCATGTTGCATCAGGCCAGAAAACAAGTAATAGAAGTTGGTTCCATGGTTGGGGAAGCTAAGTTGGATAGAGCACCTGGGGTGTGATTGACATGTCACTTCTTTTCTCTAGAGACCACATGACCACCTTGTTAGGCAACATTGGCGAATTTGGAGGCTTTGGCATCCATAGATGTGCCTCACCTGTGTTAGCTATTTCATAGATGGCTACAGACATAAATGGATGATTTCATTTGTTGTTTGTTTGTGACACGGTTTCTCTGTGTAAAAGCCCTGGGTGTCCTGGAACTCGCTTTGTAGAACAGGTTGGGTCAGAATTGAGGAGCCCCCAGAAGGGCCAATGGTGAGAGCTCTGAAATATAGCATTAAGGAGACCACCTAGAGCCAGTGGTCTTCTTGAATCCCATGCTTCACCTCTTGCAGTGACACATGGCCACCTTTAGGACAGGCCTGGACTGGTGCTATGCACAGGTGGCTCTCAGCCTCTCTAGGTATAAAGACTTCCTGGCCAACGTTCCCTCTGGATGAGAATTCAAAGAGCTCAGCTTCCAGCCTCTGCCAGGACTCTCCCTCGAAGGACTGTGTTGTCTGCTCGAGGCTGCCTTTTCTAGGTCAAGGCTCCTTTAGGAAGCAGCCCTTCATCCCTGCCTGGACTAGTAATTCGGATCATGGGAGTTGTCCAGGGTTGGAGCGCTTCAGCTACCTAAGGATCATTCCTGTGACGGCTGACCTTTGCCAGAGCCACTCTCACTCAGGCCAGTGTGGTACAGTTCGCTATCCTTTAACAAAGACCACGGGGCAGAGTGTAAGACTCCTGGAATAAATAAGAAAACAGATCAAATTCCAGGTCAGCCTTGGAAGGTCAGACTCCTGTATGTCTTCATCTTGTGCCTCCAGTAGCACATGGTGGTTGGTCAATCAATGTCTGTTGAGTCAATGAATACTCAAGTGACAGTGAGAAGTGTTAGTTGTTTTTCCTCCAGGAAAGCTGCTTCTTTGTGGCTTGGAAGATTAGGCTCATCTCCAACCAGTATTTGGGAGGACAGGGCCTAGTATTAAGGATTTACTTTTTTTTTTTTTTTTTTTTTTTTTTTTTTTTTTTTGCTTGTGTGTGTGTGTGTGTGTGTGTGTGTGCATGTGTAGGTCAGAGGATGACTTCTGGAAGTTGATTTTGGGGATCAAACTCAGGTCCTCTGGTTTCCACAAGTGCTTTTACCTGATGACTTGTCTCATCAGCCCAGAATCTAGGCCTTCTGTGTTTGGTGTACTTTACAAGCTGTCTGTTACTCTGTGTATCTATCTATCTATCTATCTATCTATCTATCTATCTATCTATCTATCTATACATCCTCTATTATCTGTTTTTAATCTACCAGTTATCTATCACTCAGCATCTCTCAATTTATCATCTATCTACCCATAATCTATCAATCTATCCCTCTATCATCTGTCAATCAATCAACCTAGCTATCTATTCACTTGTTGTGTGAGGTGGGGGTCCTGTTACGTGGCCCTGGCTGTCCAGGAATTTGCTTTCTATGCCTGGCCTTGAACTTGCATTGATCTCTTTTCTTCTAGATGCTGGGATTAGAGGTGTGAGCAACCTTGCCAAGCTTTCACATTGAATCACTTTTTAATTATTTATTTTAGTGTGTTTGTTTGTTTTTTGAGGCAAAGTTTTATATAGTCCAGGCTGGCCTCAAATTCTTAATCTTTCTGTCTCAGATTTATTGATGAGTGCTACTAC